TTGGTTGGTTGGTTGGTTGGTTGGTTGGTTGGTTGGTTGGTTGGTTGGTTGGTTGGTTGGTTGGTTGGTTGGTTGGTTGGTTGGTTGGTTGGTTGGTTGGATGGTTGGTTGGTTTGTTGGTTGGTTGTTTGATTGTTTATTTGTTTGTTTGTTTGTTTGTTTGTTTGTTTGTTTGTTCTTGCTTACTTGGTTAGTTATTTGCTTGGTTTGGTTATATGACTGATGAGTTGTTAGAATTCAGTTTCCGTAAAGCGTTCTATTCGCTCGCTCTATTTAGATTTATAACCCCCCATTTCGTAGAATCTAATTTTTCCTTATAGTTTTCCGGTTCTTTTCTTCTCGTTTCTCTTTTTTTCAAATTCTGGGTGCAGACGTTTCTTCGGGCAATATGGTTAGTACGGGTCTCTGATGAGCTAAACTGTTAATAACCCACAAGCAAACCTATCACATAGAGCCACAAACACTGCGATACGCCTATTCTCTTAGACAAATATCAGACTCGCTCCTTAATGCGAGAGAATCGTATTAAGTCGGCGATAGCTTGCCGTAAAAACGCAAACGTTGCTCTCCCATATCTATACATAAACAACAATATATAATATATTATCTTATTGTATTATATATAAACGTTTCTCTATAGATTAGCAGTTGATCCCCGCGACGGCCACGCCCACTGCTGCCAATCCTCGACACCTACTGTAAAATAAAACAAAACAAACTGTTCCTCCTGGTCTTCGAAGTTTTTTTTGCTTTGATCGAATAATTATTATTTTTACTCGGAGGTTCGCGATGTCGTTACGCGAATCAAAACGCGAATGTCGGACTTTTTTCACGGATGGTTTACGACCCGCTAAATAAACCCCTTCTCTATTTTAGCGAACGAATGAAAGGGCAAATCGCGATCGGCAAAATGGCTTCTTTTACCCTCTCTCGCGCGTAACTTCCTTCCGCTCCCGTTGCCGCGTCACGTGACGTAGTGGCTCTCTGACGCGCGCGCGCGCGGGGGACACTGGGCTGTTGTTGTCGCTGCCTTCCTCCATGTTGTTTTCATGGACGATTCCGCGTTCGATTCGTATTTCTACTCGGCGGCATTGCAAGTGACTATGCCACAGGCTTTCTGCTGGTATTCAGAAGACGGGTACGTATACACGCGCACACACGCACACACGCACGCACGCACGCGTGCATATACGTGAGTACCGCCCGGTCGCTGCATCCGCGGCCGGTTCAGTGTAACATGAAATTCATAACGTTCTTGTTGTTGTTGTTGTTGTTGTTGTTGTTGTTGTTGTTGTTGTTGTTGTTGTTGTTGTTGTTGTTGTTGTTCCTACGCCCTTCTACGCGGCAGTTGGTCTCTAGGTGGTACTATAACTGTGTGCTTCTTCTCTAAGCATTACGACACTTTGTGTTAACGTACTGTTCAATCGCTCACTTCAATTCTCAGCTGAGGACCGAGGATGGTCGCGCGCGAGAGAGACGGAGGGGTAAGAGAGGAAGAGAGCGAGAGGGAGGGAGACAGAAAGAAGGAGATGAAAAAAGAGAGAGTCAGATAAAGAAAGCGAAAGAGAGAAATAGAAATAGAGAGAATGAGAGGAAGAAAGAGAGAGTTGAGAGAAAGAGAGAGCGAGCGAGAGGGAGATCACGAAAAGGAGAGGACGAAAAAGAGGGTAAGAGAGAAAAAGAGAGAGGGGAGAAGAATGAGAGAGTAAGAGATAGAAAGAGGGAGAATAAGAGCGGAAGAGAGAGGGAGCAAGAGAGGCGAAAGAGATCGAGAGTGAAACACAGAGAGATACGAGAGAGCGGGTGAATGGAGGAGAGGAAGGGAGAAGCAGAAAGATGAGAGGTAGCAAGAAATGAAGCTTAGATCTACGGCATTGAATTCACACGCTTCAATCATACCTCATTACCTTGGACCTCTCTTGTATCCATCGGCACACTGAGCGAGCGGTCAAACATATTAGATCTTGATAGACGACACGGGATAGAGGGAGGGTGCGGCGTCGTGTCACCCGACTAATGTTGCTACCCCTGCCGACTAAATGTTGCTATCCCTACACGCGCAGCTAGCTATATAGCTACCAGTAGAAGGTGCGTGCCCATCGGCTGTGAGAGGGATCATGGGCGGGCTCCGATGTTTTATTAAGCAATAGACGACCTGGTTTTACGTGTCCAGCGAGTCGTCCAAGGTCGTACATGTCGCGCAGACTCCCTCGCCCGCTCCCACCTTTTCTCTCTCTCAATCTTTTTCTCTCCCTCTTTCACACTCTCTCTCTCTCTTTCCCTCTCTCTCTCTCTCTCTTTCCCTCTCTCTCTCTCTCTCTTTCCCTCTCTCTCTCTCTCTCTCTCTCTCTCTTTCTCTCTCTCTTAGTCTCTCACACACACACACTGCTCGCGGCGGCGAACAGTGGCTTGCGAATTATTCTACAGTAGTGCGACACCTTTCACTTTCCTCGTGTATAAATGAGAAGGCACACATAGAATGCTAGCACGTTAGAGCGACGGGGACCCGTGATGCGTGGCGGAGAGAGAGAGCGGGGAGGGGGAGGGGGAGGTGCAGGGAGGCACACAGCGCGCTACGCACCATGCACCGTGTCGTCTGCGCGTAACACAGGTAGACATTCGTCCTTGACCCGGGATTGGCGCGGTCAGACACGCATGAACGCCTCACGCTCAACGTCTTAGCGAGAGAGAGAGAGAGAGAGGAAGGAGAGAGAGAGACAGAGAGAGGAGGGAGAGAGAGAGAAAAAAAGAGAGAGAAACAGAGAGAGGGGGAGAGAGAGAGAGACAGAGCGAGGAGGGAGAGTGTGAGAAAGAGAAGGGAGGAGGAAGAGAGAGAGAGAAAGCGAGAGAGAGAGGAGGGCGAGTGAGAAACAGGAGGGATAGAGAGACAGAGAGAGGAGGGAGAGTGAGAGAGAGAGAGTGATAGAGGAGGGAGACAGCGAGAGGAGGGAGAGTGAAAGAGAGAGAGAAGGGATGAGAGAGAAAGAGAGAAAAAAATAGAGAAGGAGGACAGAGAAAGGAGGGAGAGTGAGAGAGAAAGAGAGAGAGAAGAGAAGAAAGAGAGAGAGAGAGAGAGAGAGAAGAGGGATAGAGAGAGGAGAGAGAGAGAGAGAAAGGGGAGGAGAGAGATGGGGAGGAGCGGAGAGGGAGTGAAGGAAAGTGTGTGGGAGAGGAAGGGGCAAAAGTGGAGAGTGTACGATAGAGAGGGAAACAGTAGAAGGAAGAGAGCGGAATAGGCAGAGAAGGAGAAAGCAGACCCTGATTAAAAAGAGGGGCGTCAGAGAGAGGGAGGAAGAAGCAGAGAGTGAGAGAAAGAGAGACAATGAGAAAGAACGAGAGAGCGAAAAAGAGAGAGGAAGAGATAGTTAGAGAGATATAGAGAGAAAGAGGAGCAGATAGATACCGACACACACAAAGAGACATGCAGAGAAAGAGAGAGAGAGAGAGAGAGAGAGAGAGATAAAGAAAGAGAGAGAGAGAGAGAGAG